AGAGAGAAAGCTGACCGGTGGAAGTTGGGAGAGCGGAGAGAAGAAGTGAAGAAATGAGATGGGTTGGAGGAGTATTTATAGGAGAGAGAGGGGCGGGTTGGAACTCGAGGCGACAGGTGGGAGGCCGAGGACGTGACACGTGGAAGAGTAATGATGAAGTTTGAAATTCAAATTTCAAATATGGAAGGTGAAAGGTTTTTGGGGGGAAACTGCAAAAATGAAAGGTCGGGCCCAACATCTGGGTTTCCACAGATGCAAATGGACGGGTCTAAATGGGAAGGCTTATGATTCGAAAAATGATAGGTCAGAGGGGACTGGTCAGATCTAAAAGGACAGGTCATTGATGGCAGGTCAGCGACGGATCCAAAAAATGAAAGGTCAATGGGAATGACTTGGTGATTTCAAAGAAGGACAGGTCTTGAAAATGAAAGGCTTGATCATTCAAAGAAAGACAGGTCTTGAAAAGGAAAGGCTTGATCATTCAAAGAAGGACAGGTCTTGAAAATGAAAGGCTTGATCATTCAAAGAAAGACAGGTCTTGAAAGGGAATGGCTTAACGATTTCAAGAAAGGACAGGTCATGGGAATGGCTTGACGATTTCAAATAAGGACAGGTCATGGGAATGGCTTGACGATTTCAAAAAAGGACAGGTCATGGGAATGATTTGATGATTTCAAAGAAGGACAGGTCATGGGAATGACTTGATAATTCCAAAAGGACAGGTCATGTGAGGAACTTGGTGATTCAAAAGGACAGGTCATGACAGAGACCTGGTGATTCAAAAGGACAGGTCATGAGAGAAGACTTGTTGAATTCAAAGGTGATGGGTTAACATAAGTATACTTTCTGCCCTTGATGATTTCCTCACAAGGCCGGTAAGTGGAGGACTTCTTGATGGGTATATCCTTATACCCGACCCGGATAACCGAAAGGGACAGGTCAAAACATGACCGGTCACTTTTATCAAGTCACCAAATGATGTTAACTCTTCGATTGGGACGGGTCAAAAATTGACCGGTCACTTCCACTAAAAAAGTGACTGGTCACATTTTGGGCGATAGCCAATTCGCCACTTAATGTTGCGAAGGATATTCCAGAGGACCAAAGAGATGGGTTGAACTCAAGAAATGACCGGGTAACCTTTGAGGAAAGGTGACCGGTCAGGTTGCGCTACTTGAGAAGGGCAATCAACATCAGAGGCTAGAGGACACCCCGCCGCTCATCCATCACGAGGCAAACAGTGAAGGGAATGACTGGCGTTTTGCAGGATTCTAACCTAACTCTTATAGGTACAATCAGAAACTAACTTGTCACGTACAGAACCGAACATCAACGATATAAGTAACTAACTTATCATTTAACTAATACATGTCACTGGAAGGAGGCCCAAAGGGTAAAACAGGTACCTACTTGTCCCCTTCCAGTGTTTAGGAGGAGATATTTATACTACTATTTGGATAGAGGAGGGGAGCCATTCTTTCTCTCACTAAAAACTAGTACACTCTTGAGATAGAGTAAGAAATATATTTCGGACTGAGGAGATTTACCCGGTCTAGGTCATACTTTGTGTTCTTGTTGTGTGTTTTATATTACGGGTCGAGTGTCCAGGTCAAACCCGGTCAACTCACTCATCTATATTTACACCATCATATATATATATATATATATATATATATATATATATATATATATATATGTTTTGGTTCCGGTAAGAATGAAATCTAATGAAAGAAATAAGAATGAAACCACTCGGATCTTGATCTCTTACCGTGTTCGGTGATTCTTCTTCCAAATTTTCGCCAGGGTATTTCTGTATTTTCTTCCTTCACAACTGTTATTTCCATCTAAGAGTCCCGTAAGATCAGCCCATTTCTCCCAAATTCTTTTCCTAGTATCCAATCTATATTCAAGATTTAGGTTTAATTAAGGTATGATTACTCCAACTCGTAATTTCTCGTCTCTGTTCGCTCGCCTTTTGCCGGATCAGAGAAGGAGAAGCCCTTGTTCTTTGAATTTTCAAATGGATTCATGTATTGCACAACATCAATGGTTTTGGATTGGAAGTTCATGGGCTATGCAATTCGAAGAGATACAATTATGGAGATAGGTATGGGGCCTTCCGATTTCAAGTATGGTTAATTCTAAGAAATGGTTATGCACATTAATGGTTCTGTGATGTTTACTTTCTACACATTAATGGTAAATTTTGAGAAATGGTTAGCCATGTTTAGTTCTAAAGTTTGATTTCATTTATTTTAATGGTTTTTCAATTATATATTTAAGATATTGATTTTGATTCTCACCAATTAGTCATCTTCTTGATGTTTTTTTATTAGCTTTGTATGTCAGTGGTGATACAGATGTAACTATAGTTCATAATTTTGAAATTATTGTGTGATTTAGCAATGGATTTGATACATTTTGTACAGCTGATTTTGTTTTTTGCATTTTTAAAAGAAATGGCAATGGCAATGCTTCTTTTTTCAAAGTTGTGAGGATGTCTTTTATAGTGGATTTTTATTACCCTTTTTTTACAAAAAAAAATTGACGATGTGCACACTTTTTATCTCCCCAATTTTTCTGTTAGTAGCTTGATTTCTTTTATCCTATTTTTACACTTTTTAAGTTACAGTATGATTTTTTTTATTAGCTATTTTTGTTTATTCAATCCTCCAACATCAACACCATATATTTCTTTTGAATGATATCGTTGCTCTTCGCGTATCATAATCATTGTCCTATCTTAGGTAGATTGATGTTGGTGTTAGATGCATAAATATTTTCAATAACTGTGCTAATGATGAAGAACTTTAGGGCTGCATCGAATGTAAAATGATACTAAGCTCTTAGAGAATGAGTAAAGACCCATATCACAAATTTTAAATTTCTGAGTGTTCCTTTCAAAAAAAAATTCTCTGTGTTGATTTCAGGGGAAGAATGTCCCAAACTACCATTTAAATAGAAATCATCCTAAATAGGACTAAAACATATGGAAAAGAACCAAAATAGGACTTTCATATTTTTTCCCCGGAATAGGACTTTGCATTGTGATAATGTGACTTTGCATTGTGGTAATGTGGTAGTGTACATGTGCAAATTACTATACTTTCTTGGTAATGTATATGACCATGTTTGGTAATGTAAGTCCTATTTCGGGAATAAAAACATGGAAGTCCTATTTTGGTATATTTTCAATGTTTTAGTCCTACTTTGGTCTTTCTGAAATCATCCTAAATAGGACTAAAACATAGAGAAAAGTTCCAAAATAGGACTTTCATGTTTTTTTCCCGGAATAGGACTTTGCACTGTGGTAATGTGACTTTGCATTGTGGTAATGTGGCAGTGTACATGTGCAAATTATATACCTTTTTGGTAATGTATATGACCATGTTTGATAATGTAAGTCCTATTTTGGGAATAAAAACATGGAAGTCCTATTTTGGTATATTTTCAATATTTTAGTCCTACTTTGGTCTTTCTCCTGAAGAAATCAACCTAAATAGGACTAAAACATAGAGAAACGTACCAAAATAGGACTTTCATGTTTTTTTCCCAGAATAGGACTTTGCACTGTGGTAATGTGACTTTGCCCTGTTGTAATGTGGCAGTGTACATGTGCAAATTACTATACTTTTTTGGTAATGTATATGACCATGTTTGGTAATGTAAGTCCTATTTCGGGAATAAAAACATGGAAGTCCTATTTTGGTATATTTTCAATGTTTTAGTCCTACTTTGGTCTTTCTCCCTAATATAATTGAAGCCTAAATGGATTTGATAATTGATATCTATGGTGTGGTATTACATTTTAAAATTTAATTCTTTTTAGGCACATCATTTTGCATCACGGGTACTGCACTCATCTCCTTTTTTTAATGCATTTTCTTTTCATGCGGACTTTCTTCGTGGTCATGAAACCAAAGTGGTGCAACTATTTATTTTTTCGAAAGAGGCTTCATTGTGATGCACTCTTCTATTATAAAATTTAAAATCCAGACCACAAACACTTTTCATGTAGACTTTCTTGCCGGTCATGTAACAAAAGTGGTGCGGCGGCTATATACTATGCATGGAATTTGTTGTTAAAGTTTCAATGAACAAAGTTTGTATGGGAGTTTTTGTGCATTATAAGAACGAGAGTAATGCATTTACATGAGAGGACAATGCGTTCTCAGAATCACGGTAAAGGATAATGCGTTTTGTTATTATGCATTATATTCTTAGAATCAAAGTGAAATTCATCTATCATATAGTGAAATTCTATAGAAGTGATGCACATGTACTCCCTCCGTCCCAAATTATAATGTCTGTTCACTATTCACATGGTCAAACTTCATTCACTTTCTTTCTCTATTTTCGTTAGCAAATTGATAAAATAAAACATTGTTGTCACTACTAGTTTTGTAGATCTTTTGATGTAGTATTTTGATATGTAACTTTTATTTTTTAATTCTATACCATTTGTCATATAAAATGATTTGAAAATAACTTCAGTCAAACATCGTAAACTGAAACAGGCGTTATAAAATGGGACGGAGGGAGTATATTTTAGACTGTGCAAATTCTACAAGCTTTGATGCATTTAAAATTTTCTATGATACATTTGATTATGTGTTAAAAGCACGCACTGAATGATTCTAATTTTAAAAGACAAAAATGTGTATTTAATATGTCTAATTGCAAGATGAGAGTTTCTTTGCAAAAATAGTTCGTTGTCTATTAGCTCAAATGGTAGAGCGATATGTACTATAGATGTGGGTTCGAATCCCGCATAGGCAAACTATTTTTCAAATTTGTATTACAGTTGCTCACAATGCATTCTCGGACTTTCTTATCTCATAAAAAATCACTCAAGAATCATTATTGACTAATCAACAAATTAATAAACTAAAATTTAAATAAAATCTAAAGGACAAATCACAGTGCATGTATCGACCATCACAATGCATTCACATTAGAACTACAGTGGTGTACATCACAATGTATTTCCCTATGAAAAATTTGAAAAAGTGAGATGTTAAAAATCTTTTTCTATATTAAATGCATTTTCAAACATATGAATTTATTCTTCTTACACATCGTGGTGACTCAAACTGAGAGTCTTAACTTAGAATGGATGAAATAGGAATAAAGGAGTGTAACATCTCAAAAAAACTAGCCTAAAGATTTTATTTCGTTAAATAACAGAAAAAAATATTTCTGAATTTATTTTTGTCACTTTAAAAATAGATAACAAGATAATATCAAAAATTTTATATTGAGTATTGGTGTCGTTGGATAGATCTCAGCAAGAAATTTTCAATGACATATTATTTGTCGAAGACAGACTTGTGTATGAAAAGTTATATAAAAAAAGACAATGCAATAAGACAATAAATCAATGAAAGTTATATTATAATATTAACATATTGGTGCGTATCATTTGAAAGGGATCACTACCCAATATGCCCTTGTATTAATAAGTAGTTCTGCATCTCATGCATTTTAATAAATCCTTCCATACTAAGCTTAGATTTGATTTGGAGCGCACAACTAATCACATCCGTCAAATGCATCTAATCCAACGGATAATTTTTATTCTTATTTCTTTCACCAAGGATCATTCTCACATGAACCAACCCCTATATATATATATATATATATATATATATATATATATATATATATATATATATATATATATATATATATATGCGAAGCTCTTTTTGTTTTTCCTTTTCTTCTTTCGGTCTGTAATTTTGCTATTTGTCTTACTTTTGGGGCATTGGTCATATCCTCCCCAAACGTGTACCTTCAAACTAGTTAATAAATCTGGTATGGGCACTCCTAGACCCTACCCCACTGATTTTTGTGGTTTTTTCTGGAAATATATATATATATATATATATATATACATATACATATACATACATACATACATATATATATATATATGATTGGATATAGGATATAAGATATCATCTTGTTGTATTTTAAAAGTAAATAAGGAATTGAGATTGTTGTGGGAATAAGTGTGCATACTAGGATATAGAGACGTTGTGAATAAATGATTAAGCTGCCTAGAGGAACTCTAGGACTGTTTTAGTAAGATTATAAGTGCAAATGTCAATAGGTAGAATCAGCCCTGCGAATCTGATATCCGACGCCTGTGAGTTAAAACGTACATACCGGATCCACAAACTATCGTTCTAAAGGGGACACGGGTACCACCAACGCAGCGGAGAAATCCTTCGTTGGTCAAGTCGTGTTGTGTTGTAATGTGTTGAATAAGGTAGACTTGAGTCATGACCATAGGTGGTGGCTCTAAGTCCAAAGATAAGGTTGTGAATTAGGATGTACGGTCTTAGCCTAGTATTTAGATTATGAGCTATAAATAAAGATGTATTGAGGAGTTGATTTGTGAATTCTGAATTCATTTAATGATTGTTATGTGATATTGATAATGTTATAATTGTGTGCATGATATTGTATGAAATTATGAGCTAGTCGGTTCATTTATATGCGTAGTCGAAACGTTAGATATTTCTCACTTAGCTTCAGTGCTGAGCGTGTAGCACTTTTTCTTATTTGCTACATGTAGGGAACAAGAACGATGAATGAGGAAACAATCATGGAGGACAGCGAGGGCAGAGAGATAGATGAATGCTAGTTGAGAAGTTATTTATTAATAACTTAAATATTATATCTAAATTTATTGTGTTTAAAGGGCAAGAACCTAAGTTATATTTTGATTTAAATAGTTTAAAACTTCCCCACTGTTTTTGTTAACTCTGATAAATGTTTTAAATAATATTTTAGTTGAATGTTTTAAATTGTTTTGGAAATAAGTTGTGTTTGATGTCAATTTAGTAGCAACCCGGTTTGCTAATTCGATGGCTCGGGTGACGCGGGCTGGGTTGTTACATTAGCTCTTTGAACTCACTCGATAATTTGAAAATATCATTTTGTTTTTAAGTGAGGATAGATAACCGATAGTCTAATAATATATAGTCTTTTTTAGACATTTTTATTAGAGAGTTTTTTAGGGTACTTTTTTAAAGTGCCCCTGAGAACTAGGATTAGAGTAGCTGGATAAGGGCCTGGTGCCTTATAGGTTTTTTGTAGTGTGTTTTGTTTGGTTGGAATCTTTTGTTATTGCTTGCAAGACTTTCATTTCATTCCATTGTACTTGGTGCTTTATCTGTGTTTTATTGTGTCCTATCATATTTTTTGTACAGTTGGAGCCGGGGGTCTCTTGGAGACAGCCTCCCTACTTTCGAGTAGGGGCAAGGTCTGTGTACACACACCCCCCAGACCCTACTGTAGTGGGATTCAACTGGGTTGTTGTTGTTTTTTTAAAGTGCCCTTGATTTGTGCATGTTTGATATTTTTAACAACTATCTAAGACAAATTATTACAAATGCAAAATAAGCATTTTTTAAGTGGTGAAATAAGTATTTTTAGAAGTTAAAAAAAGGGCTAAAATCCACGTATGGTCCTTCAACTTTTTGAGATGTGCACCGTTGGTCTTTCAAGTTTTTTATATCCATAAATAGTCCTTCAACTAATACTCTAGCTGTACAAGCGATATCCTATCAACGGTACACGTTAAACCAAACGGTGGATAAGAAAATGACCAAAAAGGGCTTTGTTTTATTTCTTATTTCATCTCCAAATTAATTTACAGGTGCTCCACTTTAAATTTCCAGTGAGGAATTGAAACACTTCTCCTGCTGCTCTTTGTCGTCAACCTCATCCTCAATTTCCTCTTTATCTCTCCAATCAATCTATGTTACTTCTTGAATTGGTTCTTGGATGTATTCAACAAAGTTAGCTCTGTTTTAATGGCGATAGAAGGGTAAGAGTTTAGTAGCATAATTAAAACTAGGGTTTTTAGCTTTACGCATCTCTATTTTAATGTTCCCCGACCCTCTCTGTTTTCATTTTGTTCATGTAATTGGTTTTAATTTCTAGTAGTTTAAAATTAAGAATTACACTGAAATTGGATATGCGTTGACATTAGGGTTTTTTTTGTTGAAAATTTTACTAAACTCCACACCCATTTCCCACCCGTCCATCCTTCCCAACCCATAGTCTCACACACTTTTTTTAATTGGGTAAAGCATGAAAAGAAGGGGGATCGTGTCTGCAACAAGAAAAAGCAAGAAAAGAAGGGTTTAGTTCCTGTGTGGGATACACGCTCTTTTTATTATTAACGGAGGGACCATATCTGCAGCTAGAGTATTAGTTGAAGGACTATTTATGGATATAAAAAACTTGAAGGACAATCAATGTACATCTTAAAAAATTGAAGGACCATGTGGATTTTAGCCTTAAAAAGTGAGAAAAAATATTTGGACTAGGTCCAGCTTAGAATTACGGTCCCCCAAACCTCATACACCAACATGGGATATCCCAAGTATATACCAAGCCAACACAGACACACATAGACACAAAGTGTCTGTGCAACACAGACACTTTTTGTCTGTGTGTCTGTGTTGGCTTGGTGTACACTTGGGATACCATGTTGGTGGTGTACCCCTAGCATTGCCCATCCTTAACCGCCGGTCAGCTCTCCCCACCTCCCGGGACCAGATTTCCGCCGGCCATGGTAGATTTTCTTTCTGCTTTCCAACCACAGACTCCTTCATGGTCGGCCACTCGGCCATACACAGAGAGCATTGACTTTTTTACTTCACGTTTTTTTACCATTCCATTTCTGACCCGTCAACCCGATTAGGTCCAAATAGCACTTTTTACCGAACCGGATCAACTCCTCATCGGATCTTCTTCCAAGAAGATCCTCCGCAGCATCATTATAATATATTCCCATCTATCTCTTGATTCTCTTCTGCATCACCAATTCGCCAACATCTCCAATTCACCAGAAGACACTGCGGATCAATTGGCGTGCATCGACTCGATTCGCTAAACCGTTTAATTGTGTTCGATCGGAGAAGCGTTAGGAAGCTGCCCATTTTTCTATCCCATGTATTGAAGGTCCCGGAATTCCGATGAGCATGTCTGGCGCTGGAGAGGTCGTGGGGCATGTGAATTTTCCGGCGATGGCTGAGAAAGACCGGCGCAGTTGCTGCAACCCTGTTAGGAAACCCGGGCCTGTCTCCATGGACCACGTCTTGTCAGCTCTGGGGGAGAGCAAGGACGAGAGGGATCTCAGAATCAGGAGCCTGTTCAGTTTCTTTGATTCCGACAATGCTGGGTACTTGGGTTATACCCAAATTGAGAAGGGCTTGTCCGCTATGCAAATCCCGGCAGACTACAAGTTTGCCAAGGAGCTGCTAAGGGTGGTCGACGCCGACAAGGATGGGAGGGTGGATTATCAGGAGTTCAGGAAATATATGGATGATAAGGAGCTAGAGCTGTATCGAATCTTCCAAGCCATTGATGTAGAGCACAACGGTTGCATATTGCCCGAAGAGCTCTGGGATGCTCTAGTGAAGGCTGGTAATTTGACTTATTTATTACTGGAGACATTTCGATTTTTCAGATTTCGGAGTTGCCCGATTGCTGGCTCTATGTTTGTTTCATATACTGTTTATTATGATCAAAATTCAGCACTACTTTCCAGTCATTGAATGCCCCTAATTTTGGATTTATAAGAATTCGTTCCATTCAGGATATACCGTATTCTTGTATTGCTTGAATACACATCTTTTTGGCACTGTTTCATTCCCATAACTACAATAATGTACTTAAGCTGTTAGCTATGTTTGGAGATTCTTAAAACTTAAAACTAGCCATCTCTTTGGTTGCTAAGTGCCTAAGTATGATTTTCCAATTTTAGCCTCTTTCAAAACTCCCTGAAGTTTTCTTTATCTGGGTGAGTTTTTGCAGCTAACAGCATCCTGTACATCTCATCCCCAACCCTACTCTCGAGTCTTGAGAAGTACTCAGTAATTAGTGAATATGTTTGTTATGGTTGCTAAGTATGATTGACTACCATGCCTTTAGAATGCCATTTTTCACTTTTGAAGGCCCAAAATCCCTTCTAGTAAATCTAAAACCTGAAGGTTATATACTTGAGTCTCTTTTACTTCAAAATCATTTTTTGATGACTAAATTCCTATGTTCCAAATTGGAGCTTTTGAAATGCACTTTTTAAACCCTTGGGCCTTGACACTGCTGTATGACACCACTTCTAACGAAAGGCGTTGACGAGTACTGTTGTAAGCGTGCTTTTCTATTGTAGATGAAAATCATTTCTATTGGTTGAGGTGAGAGGAAAGGTACATGTATCTTTTTGTCAAACTAACTTGATTCTTTTGTTTTATAAACTATGTGCCTTTGCATGCATAAGTTCCTTCTCTAGATTCAATGTAGATGTACATTTTTCTGTTGAAGTCATTATGGTCTCTTATAAGGTATGACAGTTCACTTTTGCAGGGATTGAAATTGATGATGATGAGCTTGCACGATTTGTGGAGAGAGTTGACAAGGACAATAATGGAATTATAACTTTTGAAGAATGGAGGGATTTTCTACTACTCTACCCGCACGAAGCCACCATTGAAAACATTTACAAATACTTGGAGAGGGTGTGCTTGGTAGATATTGGTGAACAAGCTGTGATTCCGGAAGGAATCAGCAGGCATGTCCATGCGACTAAATATTTGCTTGCTGGGGGAGTTGCAGGAGCTGCTTCACGTACAGCAACTGCTCCATTGGACCGTCTTAAAGTTGCCTTACAAGTTCAGACCACACGTGCTTCCAGCATAAATGTAATAAAAACCATATGGAAGGATAGTGGGGTTTTTGGTTTTTTTCGGGGAAATGGATTAAACGTTCTAAAGGTTGCTCCTGAGAGTGCCATAAAGTTTTATGCATATGAAATGCTGAAGAATGCGATTGTAAGTGCCAAGGGAGGGGAACAGGGCGATATAGGAACCTCCGGGAGGCTTGTTGCTGGTGGAATGGCTGGGGCAGTAGCACAAGCTGCTATTTATCCAATGGATCTTGTGAAAACCCGGTTACAGACTTTTGCGTGTGAAGGTGGGAAGGCCCCAAACTTGGGACAGTTATCCAAAGATATTTGGCTTCATGAGGGTCCCCGGGCGTTTTACAGAGGACTTGTGCCCTCTATTCTTGGGATGATTCCATATGCAGGTATTGATCTGGCTGCGTATGAGACTTTGAAAGACTTATCAAGGACATACATTCTCCACAATGATGGTAAGGACTTCACACTATGCCTCATTTCTACAACAATATATTTCAAAGATTTCTCTTGTCAGAAGAAATGTGAATAAATGCAGAACCTGGTCCTCTCGTGCAACTGGGCTGTGGGACAATATCAGGAGCCCTAGGAGCAACATGTGTTTACCCGTTGCAGGTTATTAGAACCAGGTAAAAAAACCCACACCAGCATTCTTGATCTTGTACGATTTTCATTCACACTTATATGAGTGAGTATATATGTATGTGTTGTACGTCCCTCTACTAACCTGATTTGTGCATCCCCTTAGAATGCAAGCACAACCAATGCATGCAAACACTCCATACAACGGAATGCGCGATGTGTTCTTGAGAATGTTTAGGCATGAAGGAGTCAGGGGCTTTTACAAAGGACTCTTTCCCAATCTTCTAAAAGTGGTACCGGCAGCAAGCATTACATATCTTGTTTATGAAAAAATGAAAAAGAGCTTAGATCTTGAGTAGCTGACACACCACTGGAAGCAAATGAGCCGAGTGGATGATGATGATGATGATGATGATGATGATGATGATGAGAAATAAGATTGTTAATCAAATTGGTGATGTCTTTGTTGAAGCCATACACTTGATGCTTATTTATTTCCATTTTTTTATGAAGATTTTTCTTTCTTCCCTGACCACCGACTACTTATTCAGTTCGCACCTAAATTTGTTAAGCTAAGCTATGGCAATACACATCTATATATCATTGTGTAATTTTGGTTAACTTGTAAGCACAATGAATACACGAGCTGAAAACCCTCTTGCTTTTTTTGAATCGTTTGCTTCTCATGTTCTGGGTAAATTAAGCTCCTGCCATGGTTTTATTTCAAATTCACATCCCTATTGGCTATGCGTTTTATCATAGGAATACACTTGGGTTATATACATCCAAGGATTGCATTCGTGCAATCAAGCTTGAAATCTCATTTTGGCCATATAATGGAATTATCATCCGAAAGAAAATGATTGAAGATGAATATTTACATTGAAGAACATACTCTGTCGGAATCCCTTGATGCAAGAAGATATAACAAGATCAATGCATGGTTTCATAGAAGTTTCTTAACAAGTGGGGTCAAGCCAGGATAGAACTCGACTTAAAAGAATAGTGTCAAAGTATATTGTGTGGGGATCGGGGAGGGCATCGGGACGAGTTGGCATCGGCACCAGTGAGCAGTAGAGGTGGTGGGTCGAGGATAGACAACCGCACCCAATGGCTTAAAGGAAAAATACAATATAGTGCACAAACAATAAACATCTACGTGTGCCTAGGCCTGGCATCAACCTCGTGTTTGATAATATATCCAATCAATTCGAGGTCCCACGTTGGCCTTGATTGAATCCCTAGTAAATTATGTTAGCGGGGTATGGACGAGTCGCATATGTGTTCTCTTCAGAGTGGTGCTCTAAATGTGTCCAAATGCATCACATTCACACAGAGCTTCCCATGTCTACCAACTCCCCACAAACTACTCCACGCACTTCGTGGGGAGGTTGCTCAACGAACCTATGCTTCTGGCTGGAAGGGACCCTAACCAATTTTAGACACTGCTATCCACGACCTAGAGGAAACATTGGCAAATTAGCTCATTCGCGACCCCCATTGCTATCATAACATCAAAATACAGCATGTCGTCTGTTCGTCGGGAACTATCTTCTCATTCTACCTCTGCATCGACTAGACCTTGAAATTAGGTGGGTAGAGAAAAGCCATGATTGCCTCTAAGAAGGGGTCTCTGTTTGAAACCTTGCCCTTTGTCCTATTTGAGCATCTATTCGCCATTGCATCCTCTCCATTTATTGGCAGAGCGTACCTTATGGCGTCATCTTTTCCACCAGCACCTACATGTTGCCTTCTTCCAAAGGGCCTTAAGCATTCACTTACCGGATGTGTGGGGAACTTTGAGCTTCATTATTGTCTTGTACCACAGGCACCCATTATTGTCTTGTACCACAGGCACCTGCCGACTCCCCTGAATCCGAACCAAAGGCTTCGCCTGTAACGCCACAAAATATGGCCTAAAATTTATTATAAAACAAAAGTAATTTTTGTCCATTAAGGAATATTTATACGTTTGACCAAAAATAAATGGATTTTCAAAATAATGACTTTTTGTCAAAAACTTATTTTTATGGATATGTCTCGAAGAGACGAATCCAACGGTACATTTTATGAATCAATCTGATTTATAAATTTCAAACTATGACGATTTTAAATATTAAAATTTGTAACTTTGACTCATAAAATAAACTCAATTCAAAAGAGATTTCTTAAGATTAGAAATCTAAATCTTTGACATTTGACAACACCATATTTATCATTTGAATTAAATTCATATATTTTTATATCATTTATATTATTAAATTAATTTATGACTGAGACAGACCCGAACACTGAGAAAAATAAAAGTTCTCAGAAAAATATTTTGATTACGTCAAAATTCTAGTTTTGACTGTCTCATTCCAAAAACGCAATCCATTTTCAATTCAGAACAGTATGGGCGAAAAAGCGCGTATCGTTTGGAGTAAACTGTTCAGTTTTGGCAAGAAGCCAAAACTTTATTTTTCCCAAATCCCTCCCAACATCACGTAGCCAACCTAGGAGATATCCACAATCTCATTATAATCCTCCACTAACTCCATTAATATAATACTCCAAACTAATTATATAATACTCCCAAAAACCACTCAATATTATTATCATCATGTTCCACCATCATTCATCCACCCATCTCCTCTCCATTCTCTCTCTGTCGGCCAAACAAAAGGAAAAGAAAAGAAAGCTTAAACTCCATAGTTGGTTCAAGAAAGAAGAAGAAGAAGAAGCAAGAAACCATCCAAAGTTCTAAAATCCTGAGTTCAAACACAGCAGCCCACTTCTAGGTAAAAACTGAAATTTTCTATCCATTATTTCGAAACACTTTCTGAACCAAAGTTGTAGCCCCGGACGATACGAATCCAACCCAAAAAACGGCTCGCGATTTCGTTAATTAACGAAGAAGATATGGCCAAAATACCGGGACTGCGCCAGTGTTGGCGAGCTCCTCGGGTTGGCATATGTTTCTTCACCAAATTCATATTATTTCATACCAAATACTTACCATAAACTCTCTAACAATTATTAAGAACATCCGGAAGGTATCGTAGAGATGGTTCGGCGTTGGAATATTGAAGTTAATGAGTTAATAGTCGGAACCGTTGTTCACCGGAGTATTCAAAAATTCTGGACAGCAACTTTTCCCTAACTTCAGGTCCAATTTACGCTATTTTAAATTCAATATCTCAAAATACTTTCTATACAAAAGTTATAGCCTTACATCTTAGGAATCCACAAAATCAAACGGTTTGCAATTCCGTGAAGAAACGATGGAGATATGCCCAAAATACCGCAGGCTGTCCAGTTGTGACGGAAATGACAAAGTTGGCAAATTTCGATGTTGTTTCCACTCCCGCTCATCCGTAAGGTTTCGGCCGATGATTTCCAGGTCTGTACCTTTGCGTTATACTTGTTGAATCATTCATCACATACGTACATGAACATATATGTTAATCCATATGTTGAAATCATCCCAAAATAAATATGTGATACATATATAAGTCATCTTTGTGTTAAGACCAAAATACACCAAATCCATAAAGTTATTATATATAAACATTTGAAATCGACCCTACAATATTTTTATTTCAATCAAAGGTGTTTAAAAGACTTAAAGTAGTATTTTGGACACTCAAAATATCAAGAGATAGATTCGCAGACCCAAACGGTCGACGCAAACGGTCGACCGTCGTATTAAACTTCGAAACGGACCACGACTGTCAGCCAAACGGTCGACCGCCGGTGGCTAACAGTCGACCGCCGCCCGTCCAGCCGAAGTCCGCCATCCGCAGCTAGTCAACAACGGTCGACCGCCGGTCAACCACGGTCGACCGTCACGGTGAATCGCCAATCCGACCTGATGAAGATCAAGGTCGACCGTCGCGCCAAACGGTCGACCGTTCCGAGCCCAGTAGTTTTATTAAATGATATTTTAATCATGTTTCATCCAAATAAACTAATGCATGATTATATATTCATATTGTTTGCAAATTGTTCACATCATGTCATTCATTTCAACATTTATATTGAAGCATATCACATCATGTGCATGCGTAAGAGATCATGCGTAATTGCGTCTCTTATAGCGTGATTGTGCGGGACTTAGTAGTCCGACATCACACGTTCGGGCTTAGTGTACGTACATGGTATTCAGGTCTCCGGGTACTACCCCATTTTTTAGTCTCACCTCATTCGTGAGACTAAGGCCGCGTGAGTTCGTCGTACCAAATGGGCGAATCTCATAGTGCAAGGGTGTCCTTGCAAGTTATAGGATCATGCATCATGTTATCATCATCAAGTACAATTACATTGATTACATAGGTGTCATGTAATCATCATCAAGAAAAAGTATATTGATTACATAGGTATCATGTAATCATCCTCACAAGCAAATTGATTAAATGTGCCATCATGAAATTATCATTAAATATTTATCATCATGATTCATCAAATTTACCATATGATAATATGTTCCATATCATGAATGTTACTATACATTTTGTGGACGTATATATATGTATATGTATATGTCTGTGAATCATTCTACAATTCTAGCGTGGTACCACTCAGCGGTTTCGCTGAGCGTGTAGTTTGTATTTTTCGTTGACTACACGTAGGTAATAAGAAGACAATGATGGAACCACTCCCGGAGGGCATTGAGTCAGAGGAGATGCAAGGATGGCAGGCAAATGTTTGGTCATCAGATTTTAAAATGTGTCATGATTTGATTATTATTGTAATTCCGCATTACTCTGAAAATATTTTTAAATGGGTCGCGATCCAGAGTCTGTAAATTTGATATTTATAAGTAATTGTCATTTTCAAATGTCAAGCGAAATTTTTATTTATCCCTCGTTTCACCTTAATTCGTGTAATTCCGGGTTATACGGATTGGGGTGTTACATCGCCCTACTTCTTAGGGGTTGTAAGTTCGTGACCAGGGTAGCCTGTGGGTTTGGTCTCATTCAGTCTTGGGACAGGATCCGGAGCCTCTCAAAAACACCTCCTTGAGCCAGTGCCTCCACATCTTGCACTTGGTCTTGGTCCCGAGTGGACAAAATAAGATTCAAGCTCGCGGCTAGCGTGTCCTAGGGGAGTTCTCTTTGGGCTTGTCTCCATCTTGATCTTTCAAAACTATTTGTACTCTGGAATCATATCTTGTTCCCAAGGGTTGTTGAGATTTTAAGCGCGTAAGATACCGAAAAATATTGAGAATACCAAAAAAAAGAGAGAACAAACACAAGAAGAATATATGAGAGAAAAATTATATTTCCACTATTTCAGGACAATATACAAAAAACTCTCCCCTGTTTACAAGACTAAATTTCACGCACTCATAAGTAGATCTTTCCACATCCCATGCTCGGATGTATTTTTTTGAGTAACTAAAACCAGTTACTCCTTACACTCACCCACACTCACCAAGACCCCTTGGATTTTCCCGGTGGTATTCTTGTGTAGAATTCCTCCCATGTTTCTCTCTCTACCTTGGTGGTGTGTAAAACCCACACACACATCTAGGTTGAGTCTCACTCCTTTTAAAGCAGCTCAATTCCCTTAAGCTTCAAATAATACTCACTCAACTATATGTAATGTACCTAGGAGATGCAATGCATTTGTACCAATCCAAAGAGATAGAAACAAAACCAAAAAAGGACTCTCCATGTGCATGTTTTACGTCCAAATCCAGGCCACTACTCCTTTTCTTTTCTTTTCTTTTCTTTTCTTTTTTTCTTTCTTTTTGAATATTTAATCAATATTTCCCAACAAACTCCACCTTGATTAAATAATCAAGAACCTTTGTAGCTCCATCGAGATCACCGCTACTGTGAAAGAAAAAAATATCCTTGGCGCCATCTCGATCTGCTCCACCGAGATCACCACTGCCAACCTCAAAAAAAAATCCTCGTGGCTCCACCTTGGTCCAACAACCAAGATCACTACCACTTTGAAAAATTTTTCATGACCGTATCTTGCTCAATACCGCAAGCTTTCCGCCACCATGTGTTGACTCATGGTCGTGGCCTCACCTTGCTCAATACGACAAGGTCCTCACCATTTCCAGTTATCATTGTACCTGTGGCTCAACCAACCCATCCAAATCACCGACACTACCTTAGCTCATTAGAGTTTTAACCCTCCACCCCGAGCTAAAAAATGACAACTCACCTTTGTTAACACTCTCTAAGACCATCCCATCTAGCAATGAGCTTCTTTCGATCCGCCCATCTTGCACCGCCGCAGCAACACCTGCGAGACACGCCACCCGACCTCTTCTTGCCGGGAAGACTTTCGACACAAGACATAAGCCACAGTTTTTCACTCTGCTAGACCACCAGTCTCCTCAAGTCCTGTTCCTGCACCATACTTTACAAAGCCATCCAGCATGCCACTTCGTACCCGGTCCTCATACCATCCACTTTGTTCCTGAAGTCCCATGGTCGCCTTCTGGCAAAAACTGACCAGTCCCTGGGTTCTCAAAATTTCTCCTTTTACCGCTTACAAATCCCTCCTGCCTAGCGCAACCAAGCACTGATACCAATTTTTGGGATTTTAAGCGCGTAAGATACCGAAAAATATTGAGAACACCAAAAAATGAGAGAACAAACACAAGAAGAATATATATGAGAGAAAAATTATATTTTCACTATTTCAAGACAATATACAAAAAACTCTCCCCTGTTTACAAGACTAAATTTCAGACACTCATAAACAGATCTTTCCACATCCTATGCCCGGATGTATTTTTCTGAGTAACTAAAACCAGTTACTCCCTACACTCACCAAGATCCCTTGGATTTTCCCGGTAGTATTATTGTGTAGAATTCCTCCCATGTTTTTCTCTCTACCTTGGTGGTGTGTAAAACCCACACACACATCTAGGTTGAGTTTTACTCCTTTTAAAGCAGCTCAATTCCCTTAAGCTTCAAATAATACTCACTACACTATGTGTAATGTGCCCAGGAGATGCAATGCATTTGTACCAATCCAAAGACATAGAAACAAAACCAAAAAAGGACTCTCCATGTGCATGTTTTACGTCCAAATCCATGCCACTACTCCTTTTCTTTTTCTTTTCTTTTCTTTTTTTCTTTCCTTTTGAATATTTAATCAATATTTGCCAACAAGAGTCTCAAATTCTTGACAAATTTTATACAACTTAGCGCCTAGCTACGCTAACTCTTTTGAAGAAATGCGCGGGTGCCTGGTCCCTCCATCCAAAAATAATTGGTTGCTTTATTATTTCAGGATGTTGATAACTTTTGTTTGCATATGTATTTTCATTGATCATTTGGTAAAATAAAATAATCATGTTTGTCCTCTTTTAAACAACTTATACTCCTTTTTTAATTAATATCCCTTTTCACACAACGTATAAAATTCTTTCACTTTCATAATGACTTCATTTAGAAATTCATGTAGAAATAAAGAGTACAACTTAAATATTTAAAAAATACTCCAAAAATTCTACAAGATAAGTGATAATATATTTATTTTATTTTATCAAATTATTAATGAAAATGTGTATACAAAAAAGTTAATGAAAATCTAGGAAAATAACCATGACATTTCTAGGGATGTAGGGAGTATATTTCTATAACTTGAAAAAAATTCTAAAAAGTGAAAATAGGACTTCAACGGCAGCGGATATGTAAGCGGACGGAGTGGTTATCGGGCATGACTAGAAATCATGTGGGCTCTGCCCGCGCAGGTTCGAATCCTGCCGTCCACGTTTTTTATAATGTCCTTCACACCCTAGTAGGGGCGAGTTTGGTTTTCGTGGCTTGGTTTTTTACATCTCCTTCAGAGATTCTTACACCTTGGTGCGGGAATAGAATGCCTGATTTGGATCGCTGGAATTTCTCACTGGCCGGAAATTTGCAGGTCGCCGGAATTTCTCTCCGGGCGATGGGATGGGCTGCAAGAACTTGGGCCAGGAACGGTGGGGGCATGGGTTAGGTTGAGGGGTATTTTGGGAAAGTCAATGTAAATTTTAACTTTTATTAAACTCCGTGCCCGGTCAAAGCGGGAACTTTAAATGTGGACGGAGGGAGTATTTTTGAACTCGCAGTTCACATTTTTTTAATGTCTTCATCATTTCGAGTAGGGTTGGTTCGGTTTTGGCAATTTGATTTTCACCCAAAACCAAAGACAAAATAGAAGGTAATTTATCGGTTCGATTTCGCGTAAAAAATATGTAAATCGTTGGTTATTTTGTTTAGTTTTATATGGTTTTTATTTTGGTTTTTTTTCGAATTTTAAACCCGTTGTCCACGTTTTTTTAATGTCTTCACCATTTCGAGTAGGCGTGGGTTCATTTTTGGCGATTCGGTTTTCACCCAAAATTAAAGACAAAATGGAAGGTAATTTATCGGTTCGGTTTCGCGTAAAAAATATGTAAACCGTTGGTTATTTGGTTTGGTTTTATGAGGTTTTTATTTTGGTTTTTTTTATTTTCAAACCCGCCGTCCACGTTTTTTTTAATTTCTTCACCATTTCGAGTAGGGGTGGGTTCAGTTTTGGCGGTTCAGTTTTCTCCAAAATTAAAGACAAAACGAAAGGTAATTTATTGGTCCGGTTTCGCGTAAAAAATATGTAAATCGTTGGTTATTTGGTTTGGTTTTATGTGGTTTTTATTTTGAGTTTTTTTATTTTTAAATCCTGCTGTCCACGTTTTTTATAATGTCTTCACCATTTCAAGTAGGGGTGAGTTCGGTCTTGGAGGTTCGGTTTTCACCCAAAACCAAAGACAAAATGGAAGGTAATATATCGGTTCGGCTTTGCGTAAAAAATATGTAAATCGCTTTTTATTTGGTTTGGTTTTATGCGGTTTTTATTTTGGTTTTTTTTCAATTTTTAAACCAGCCGTCCACGTTTTTTTAATGTCTTCACCATTTCGAGTAGGGGTGGGTTCGGTTTTGGCGGTTCATTTTTCACCCAAAACCAAAGACAAAACGGAAGGTAAGTTATTGGTTCGGTTTCGCCTAAAAATTATGTAAATCGTTTGTTATTTGGTTTGGTTTTATGCTGTTTTTATTTTGGTTTTTTTCATTTTTTTATTTTTAATATTGCCGTCCACGTTTTTTAATGTCTTCATCACCATTTCGAGTGGTGGTGGGTTTGGTTTTGGCGGTTCGGTTTTCACTCAAAACCAAAGACAAAACAGAAGGTAAGTTATCGGTTCGGTTTCGCGTAACAAATATAAAAATCCTTAGCTATTGGGTGTGGTTTTATGCGGTTTTTGTCTTGGTTTTTTTCGATTTTTTTGATTTTTAAAAATAAAAACTTATAAGCATTAAAAAACTTGTAAAAATAGTAACTCTATGAAGCAATAACAATGTGTAGGGTTGAGTTTGATTTTTTCGGTTTGATTTTTACACAATGCCAAAAACCAAACGGAAGGTTAGAATTCAGTTCGGTTCAATTTTACATTAAAAATATGTGTCGAGTATCCGAAAAACATCTAGTAGATTCCAAACACTCCCAAAGTCTTTGTATGAAAATATTTATTATGGAAAATTTATGTTTTTTGGTATAATACTTTGATTTCCGTTATAACATCAAAGTTTTTTTCATGTAAATATGCAAATTACTCGTATTAAATTTTAATGTTAGTATAATTCCGTATCAGGATTAGTTATTAGTTTTTATATTCCTAGATTTTTTAAAGTTTATAATATAGTTTAAAATATTTAATAGTTAAGAAAAAATGATTTCAATGGACTAGTCAGTTATTTACATTTATATTTTTATAATTTTTTATATATCACATGTACTCATAACAATAAAGCGGAGTGCCTAATAAAGTTCGGTTTGGTTTGATTTTGTAAATTGAAAACCAAAACGGAAAGCAAACAATAACAGTTCGGTTCAGTTTTTTTACATTCGATTTCAGGTTTTTTTCTAGGTCGTTTCGATCAGTTTTGGTTTGGTTTGAGGTTTTTGGTTTTCCCAACCTAACCCTAATTTCAAGCATATAAACATAAAATTCAACTTTTGGTAGACCTGGCAATACAGACCCGGAACCAAAATCATCGAAACGTGAAGATCTGATTTATAACCGAATAACCGAATTGATCTGAATCGAACCGAAATTGAACTAAGTATATTCATATCCGATTTAAATCCAAAACCAGTTAGATCCGACTAATTTCTTCAC